TGCCAATCATCCTTGGTAACGTCTTTTCTGCACAGGCAATTATGCCGTTCGGGTATTTTTGAGCCTAATCGAAGTTCTATCGCAATTCTGAGTTGTTGGTTCGACAGTTTTAAACTTAAATTTTTGCACGGGATGAAGTTCAACCATTGGGAGCCAAATTTATCTAGGAAAGCGTAAAATCTTTACATCCGATGGTTTGAGTCGTAAAATCAAATTTCGCTGTCATAAATTGGCTCCGTCCATTTTTTTTGGATTTAATTTTCCGGAGCCATTTCAATTTTTCCAAGTTCAAACCACCGTTTAAGCGCATCATCATAGGTTCTATCCACATGCTCCAAACCAAAGATTTTGCTCAAGGCATCTTTTGCTCCTACTGCTGTGGCTAAGAAAGCGGGTAAAGCGAGTAGACGAGCGCAAAAAACGCCCAAGCCACCTTTGGCTGCCAAAAGAACTGCTTGTAAAAACTGGTTATCATCCATTTTCACGTTAGTGACCTTGCATAACGAATTTCTCAGAAAATTGTCGCAGCGTTCCAAAAAATCATTTTCCAAAAACAAGGTCTCGTACGCAAAAAAATATAGGAGTTTTGGCATGCTAAAGCAATTTTTCAGAAATTAAAAACCATAATGGGCGTCTAGTTTGTCAATGACATCCGAGATTTTTTCAAGCTCCTTAATTTTTTCGTCGAGCAATTCTTTTCGGCAAACTTTGCCAATTGGAGATCCTAAAAGGAGGAGTTCTTCTTTTGTTTTTGTTTTTATTTTGGGGCAAATTTTTTGAAATTGTGTTAAAAATGAATTATACTGTGTAATAGTAGTCGGTCCCAAAAAACAAAGTTCGCACTTCTCAGTGTTCAAGCTCAGGCCGTAAATTTGTTCTAATTTCAGAATGTTTTTAAGGTCCCGGAGTACTACCTTATAGTTGTCGGCTAAATTTCCGTCATCTAAATACCAAATGTTAATTTTCGACTCCAATTGTTTGACTAGTCTATGAATTGTTTCCGCAAAAAGGTTTGGGGCTTCAGGATCACCTTGCTGAGTTCCGTCTTCTGACGTTATGACAGAGGTTTCGTAAAAAAGTAACTAGGTTTACCATACGCGCAATGGGTTGAATTATACAATTCGGGGCGATTTGAATCAACATGATTCAGCATTGTTTCTCTATTTAGAGAGTTAAAGGCATTCTTAAAATCTAGTTTTAAAAGAACAGTGCATTCTGGATTTTCGTCTCGTTCAATTAGGTTTCGAAATGAGTGTGCAGCTATTTCTGCTCCTCGTTTGGTACCGCATCCTACCTGCACGTTTACGAAAAAATTTTGTCGCTCGTAGAGGGCCTTGCTTCCAGCGCATTTAGACGCGATACGTATCAGGGTGTTGCCTATGGCAATCGGTCTCAACCCTCCGTCTATCTTTATGAGGGCGATAAGCTTTAAGCCAAAAAAAAATAGTTCTTAGGGGTTCGGGCATTTTGCCATCTTCAATGAGGTTTATCAGCTTAGAAAGCGATTTCAGAAAATTAAGTCGTGCACTGCCATTCGACTTACTAACAAGATCTCTGAAAATTTGAGGAAATGTTTTATCAGGACCTGCTGCTGATCCGTTCGGAAAGGACATTATCGCTTTGTATAGATCGAAATCGGTTACAAAAAAAATCTATCCCAATTTTCTGGATTTGGAGCTGCAAATTTGGCTCGCGGAGGGTAGTTAGACAACAACTTTTGATTTTATCAGTTGAAAAAGGAGCAATTTTGTCATCCGAAGCAGCAAGCCTTATTCCTCCTTCATCGAGCATACATTTCCTTCATCGAGCTTACTACTTATGAACGTTATTCTCTGTTCGAGGTCACTCTGAGGCGGGCTTGCAATTTGGGGATGGGGTTTTGAAAGTGACACGTCATTTACTCGTTTTTTTTTTATTTATCAAAGAGCTCATGCTTGTGGTATGTATGCGTCCACATCTTATCTGTTGCTCCAAAAAAAACAAGAACGACGTTAAAAAATTAGCCATTTTGTAACAGCTTCTACATTGTAGACGATGTCATTTATTTTGTCCGACAGACTTTCCGCCTGGGAACACGCGAGTTTTTGGTACTCTCTTGAGTACTCGGACGTTTGAGATAGCTGTATTAACATAATTTTCTAGCACTTAATCCTTACTATTGTTGCTTTATTAACAGATTTTACATCAACGCATAATGGACACTGAAACCATTAGGTTTTCTTAGAGTCGCTAAGAGAATAATTTACACAACTGATATGATACCAACTAGAAAAACAATCACATCTAATCCAATTTATCAGTCCTGGAGTTTTTAAGCAATCTTTGCTTGTACACTCTTTGTTGTTTTTCCTCATCTTGACGCAGCGTAAAGGTTAAAAAAAAGGATTTTGACTGGAATTTGAGGGACTGAATTAACCCATGATAAGCGGTTAGTGGGAATTTTATATATCAGCAAATAAAAAAAATTAAAGACAATTAAATTAATTTAAATTTTAAAATCGAATTATAAAAATCAAAAGCAAGGAACAATCTCACCCGAGCTCAGTAGGTCCAGCGGTGCACCACCAGACACTTCAAGCCAGTTCCAGTTTCCAACCTCCCCACAAAAAGCCACTTGACAAACCTGTCTCTAAAATCCCTCAGAGGGCGCTCCACAAACATCAAACATACCAAATCTATTTAAAAGGTTTATCACAACAATCAGGCCAAAAGGGTCATTAGGAAAAGAGATTGTCTGAATTTGCGATATGAGTGGCCACTTGTCAACATGGCCATGAAGTGTGAATGTGGACAAAATAACAGCATTGACCACTCATTAAATTGTAATCTAGGTGGCTTTGTGATTATGCGCCATAACTGCTTCCGGGATCTCTTTGCTGATGTTCTTGATAGTGTATGTAAAGATGTAAGCATTGAGCCTCCGCTAATTTCCCTGACCGATGAGGAAAAAATTACTATTCGCGGAAACATTGAAGAAGGCGCTCGTCTCGATATCGCGTGCAGGTCTTTCTGGACGCCAATGCAAAAATCGATGTACGACGTCAGAGTGACCCACATCAACTCACCATCGAACCGTGCTAAGCCAGTTAAATTAATTCTTGCCGACCACGAGAAGATGAAGAAATCTGCACACCTAGAACGGGTTCAGCAAGTGGAGCATGCCAGTTTCACCCCCCTTGTCTTTGCTACTAATGGAGCAATGGTTGAAGAGGCCGATCACTTTTGTACTGTTCTAGCGGAGAAACTTTGCTCTAAGAATGGCTGCTCTTACGCTGATATTAAGAACTATATAAGAAAGCGCCTGAGTTTTACCGTCATCAAGTCCGCTCTGATAGCCCTACGCGGTAAAAGGAAAATGAGAGATTCTCCAGTAAGAATGGTGGATGCTGATGTAAATGTTCTCAATTACCGATAGTCTGTGTTTTAGTTCACTCTCTCCTAGATGCGCCTTTCTTCTGTCCTTTCCCGTGTCGTCCTTCTTGTCTCTCTGCTATAGCTCTCCGCCAACCCAGTTCCATATTCATCAGTGTCTATCGCCCGCTCTACTTCCATCTGTTCACGGTTCCCGAGTACCACAACTCGGCCTGTCGTTGCACACCGTTTTGGATGGTTTGATGCTGTGCTTTTTTACTATATTGAATATGTCTGTTTCTGTTCTGTATTTTTCAGATACAAATTTTAATTAACTGATTTGACTACAAAACACATCTTTAAAATAAAACAATCTAAAAGTTGCCCTAACAAACCGCCATCATTTCTAGGGTCGCATGTTAAATGTTGCGAGGGGGCCCTACCCCCTCTCAATGAGCTTCTATAGCGTCGTGAGCACGCGCCCATCAAGGTAGTTTTTTTCATATTGGCTTGCTTCTCATTTTTCGTCCAATAGTTTTTTGTTTGTGTGGTATCAAAAGTGATGCGAAGCTCCCCCTCGCATGTATGTGATAAATCATTGTCCCTGAAAGCAATCTCGATTTTGAAGCTATTGGTTTTGAAGGTTTATACCTGACGAGTATAATAGGAAAAGATTTGGTATGTTTGATATCATAGTTACGGATGTTTGATATCATAGATACGGATGGGAACCAACCAAAACCCCACTCACATGTGCATGTGGTCCTGATTTTAACTTGACACATGCGCTTCACTGTGCAAAGGGTGGTTACACACACATAAGACACAATGAAATTAGAGACACATTCGCCAACCTCATGAACGAGGTTTGCCATGACGTCGAGATTGAGCCGAAACTTCAGCCGTTGCAAGGCGAAAGCTTTGTCACAATTCAACTACAACTGAAGATGAGGCACGACTTGACATTAAGGCAAACGGACTCTGGGGTTCACGATTCAGCCGCGCTTTCTTTGATGTGAATATTTTCAACCCCCATGCTTAAACATCGCAAAAACTGCATAAGGATGCATACAAATACCACGAAACGCTGAAGAACTCCAAATATCAGCAAAGAATTTTAAACGTAGAGCAGAGTAGCTTCTGCCCGCTAATTTTTGGATGCACCGGTGGCGCTGCTCCAACAGCCACGCGGACGATGCAGCGATTGGCCGAAAAACTAAGTGAAAAAAGACAAGAAAGCTATACAGAATCTATAAACTACATAAGAACTAAAATAAGCTTCGCGCTCCTGAGGAGCTCTATACTTTGTATAAGGGGGTGCAGATCGCTACGCAAAGTTCAATGTATCGACAACTCCATAAGCGCTATTGTAGAGGAAGGACGGCTAAGATAAATTAAAATTACGACGATGCATTTAATGCTGATTTATGACTTCATTGCTGATATATATATGCATTTTTATATCGCTGGTATGGCCCTATCCAGCTTGTGCACTTACCGTAACTAAACGGAAGGGCCCCTTTTGTAATTTAGTTTTTTTTATAGGAAAATACCGCTATTTTGATGAAAAGTGTTAATGGATCATAGTCGTTGCATCGCTGTTTAACTAGAGTTTTGAACTGTTTTCAGTTTGAATGGAATCCTTCCTTATGTCCAAATTGCAAGGCAATACGCGTCAAACTGTTAGCTGGGTGCTTCTTCTTATGTATCTGGGCGGGACTTTCTACTTAATGCATTACCTTTTCGACATAAGCGACCAGTATTCACAGCTTGCATTGGATCATGCGAAGCACTACAAGAAAAAAGATCGACAGCTGTTGGGAATCTACGACATGATAGCTGAACACATGTTCAACGTGCCGTTCTCCTGGTGGATTGTTATCCTTCTTGTGCCTTACATTTCCATTTTTGCCCTGCTGATCACTTGCACTCGCACGAATTGTGTATTACTCGGCGATAAAGCCGACTGTCGCCTTCCCCATGTGAAAGTGGACCAAACTTTCAAAGCTGGCAAGGGAGCCAAAGTTAAGTGATTTGAACTCTGAAGATAAACTTAAAAAACTGGGCAATTTCACTTGTAAACTTCGTATTTTTACATATCTCCTGTAAATAATGTTTGCGTGCTGTGAATGTAAATTATATTTGATTTATGATATGAGTTTCTACGATTTTCAATAATAGTTTTGAAACTGTATTTTCTTTGTTAATTAGAAATCTAGTTTTTTCTTCGTATTCTCTTTTAAAATACTCTGCCCTCGTTTTACGGCCATTTTGTCTCTTTTTGAAATAAATGAGGTTGTGCGATTTCCTTTAGCTTTTGCCCTACTAATAGTGATTGCCACCAATTTCAAATTCATGTCAATTGCCATCTGTGTAATTGAAAGGTCTTTATCTGGTAGTTGAGTAAATTCAACTAACAAAATGTAGTTTTTTTTTGCGTGGTGTGATGAAAAGGTCTGAACGAAAAACTAACACTTAAGCATATTTGAAAAACAAAGTAAAACAGACGATTTGGACAACAATTTCTGTAGCAAAATGACTGGAAAATCAAATAAAAAATTTAAATGTTCAAAATTTTTTTCAATTTGTTTCGAGTAAAGCTAAGTTTTCACGGCTTAATTTAAGAAAAAATCTTTTGTAAGCCAGCTCGCTCGCTTTAATCGCTCAAAATAAGACTAAATCTCAAAAATATCAAACCAATTTTTCTCAATACCGGGGACAATTTTTTGACAATTATCACTGGACCCATTCCGATGAGTAATTGTGGTGCTTGATTTTGCGTGAAAAAAAACAACAACTAGAATAGCTCGTTACTGCAAGTAGCTCAGAATGTTTTGGCCATAGTCTTAAAAATACAAAAATGAATTTCTTTTTAAAAAACCGTTTCTTTATGCGTGGTGTTTTTTTGTTAGTGTCATTGTTTTGGCGTGATGCGATAAAAGGATGTGAAACAAAAACTAGAGCTTAGGCATAATCGAAAAACATAGAAAAATAGGCAAATTGGAAGACAATTTTAGTAGAAAAACGACAAGAGAAACAAAAAATTTTCAATTTTTTGCAGTTTCTTGAAGTTTTTGATTCCAAAAGCCGCAAAAAAACTTTAACTCGAGTAAAACTAAGTTTTACGGCTTAAATTAAGCTTTTGTATTGTTAAAAGCCATTAAAATAAGCTATTGTAAGCCTGTTTGCTTGCTTTAATCGCTCGAATCAAGAAGAACTATCATGAATTTCAAAACGTTTTTTTCTCGACACCGGGAAAAATTTTATCAAATAACGACTTAAAGGGATTTAATTTGATGTATCACTCAACTCTCTCCGATGATTGTTTGTGGTAGCTAATTTTGCGTAGAAAAAAGAAAAAAAAATTGTTTGTGGTAAGTGATTTTTCGTAGAAAGAAGAAAAAACGAAAACACCCGAATAAAGTTCCTCTCCATTTTTCAAACGGTCGGTACAAAAAGGGTAACAGTTTGGTGAGTAACTTTAACTGAATGCTCCAGGCATTTATCCTTGCCAAAAAGTTAGTTGTAAAACGAAAATTTTGATTTTTTAAAAGTGAAATTAGTAGTCCGCAGATTGAATTGATTTTCAAATTGATTATAGAGACGTTTAATCGTACATATAATGAAAACAAAAAGTTTGCGTGCGTGCTTGAGTCTGTTACAAAAACCACCCTGAAAAGTACTTGAACGACTTCGCATAGAGTGCCATATGAAGAGTGTCACTTATGAAGAGTGTCATGGTCTGAACAAATTTGAGTTTTATGAAGAAATTATGGAGAAAAAGGATAAGAAAGATCGCATTTCGCATTCAGCGGCCTCTCGTTTATTTTGCAGGTTTTCTTTCGATGGTTAGAATTGAACACCTGCATCTCTATTGACAAATTTGAAAATAACTTTCATTTTGAATTAAAGCACCTTAAAGTTACTGATGTTTTCTCAAGCACTGAAAAAAGCTTTGCTATTTTTTAAGAATAGATTTTTGCAGTTAGATAATCTGCGATGGACGTTGTGATCTTTTTCTGGATTATAGCGGTGATTGTTTCTTGAAATTTATGAAACTTCCGCGAACATGCTTACAAGCATGATTTTCGTCACCGTGTCATTTGATGGTTATACAGTTAGAAATTTATAACGAGAAGTTTTTTTTGTTCCGACCATTGAAAATGGGGAGGAACTTAGTATTCGTGTTTCAGTTTTTTTTTGTTTTCCACGCAAAATCAGGTAACACAAATAATCATCGGACTAGGTTGAGTGATATATCATAATAAAGCCCTTACATTCGTGATTCGAACCACATTCAAAAAATTTTTAAAATGTCCCCCCGTGTCAAGAAAAACCGGTTCGAAAGTTTTGATTTTTCGTCTTATTTCGAGCGAATAAAGGGAGCAAGTAGTCTTATTTTAACTGCTTAAAAGCTTGCTATACCTGAGTTTAAAACTTAAAAACTTAGAGTAACGTTAGTTTACTTTGAGTATTTTAGCGCCTTTTTGGAATCAAAATTTTCACAAAAATTCAAAAAACTGCAAAACTTTAAAAAAAAAACGTTTGTTTTGTTTTTTCAAGTAACTTTTCCAAAAATTTCTCCATTCTAATTAGCTTATTTGACTATAACTGACATATATATCCTAGACTCCAGTTTTTTCTTCAGCTCCTTTTATCACACCACGCCGAAAAAAAACGACAATAATTTGAAAAAACTTTGTTGTATTTTTTAAGACTGGTCGGAACATTCTGTGCCATTTGCACAGTAACCGGCTATTCTTGTTTTTGTTTACTCATAGTGGATTTTGGTTTCAGGGTAGTGTTACAACCTATTTTAGCTAACGGTGCAAAATATGAAGTCTTGCTGTTTTCAAAATGTTGGCAAAAAAGAGCTAGCGAGCGTAGTGTAATAGTATGAATCTAATTTTCTCCAGCCGAAGTCGAAAATAAAAGTAGTCCTAATTTGCTGGCTTTTTTGATATAATCACGTTTTGTAGCTTTGAAAACTTCATAGCATCAGTTCTCTGCTTTATTGGCAGCTGGTGTTAGCCAATCATAAGCGACTTACTGGGCGGAGAAGATTCAATAATGTAGTTAGCAATATTTTTATTTTTTGGTGGCAGTGAGTTCCAATTTGTTGCAGTATTTTTTGGAGCATTAGTTCAATTTCAAGGGCCTGAGGCGCAGTTGCTAAAACGTAAGAAGCTTATCTCGAGGTCAAAGGTTCGAGTCCAACATATAGCAAATGTTTTAATTCAAGGCTTGTTTCTACCTTTACTTGTTTCTTTCAGAACTGCTTTTTGTCTTCGTAGCATGTTTGCGAAGTGCAGCTTCGCATCTGTGTTAATGTGTGGGATGATGTTATAACGTACATGATGTGTTATTATGGAACTCGAGCATTCAGTGCTTCCTGGTATTAAACAGAAACCATGCTTAAACAGTAAATAAGCCGCCTTAAATAATTTTTAGTGAATGAGCTTTGATTGTTACTCTAACTCTAAGCTAGTAATCATTGTAAAAACTCATGTTTTTGAAGTGTTTCAGCTGATTTTGCAAAATGAGTATAATTTTGTGGGTTTTTTGTTTTTTCTTTCAACATAGTCATTCATCTTTATCGCCCCCCTTCCGTCTTTGTATCCAAGATACATTTCGCATCTCTTCAAATTGAATGATCTTTCGCTGAAACTGGTGATCTTTTGTTGAAACAGTCAGAGGCACTTCTAAAGCTACTGAGTATTCTAGTAAAATGCCTGTACTTTAGAAATATTTCAAACATAAATAATTATAATCAAACTAATAGATTTTCAACAAAACAAGAGATGATTATTTTTGGATCTACTCAACAATTGCCACCTTTCAAAAAAAGATGGCAATTGTTAAGAAGATTAAATTGGCGAATTTTTGACCCATCAGATAGCAGCAAAACTTGAATTTAAAATATAAAGCTATAGTGCTATTTAAATGCTTTTACTTACAGGGGTGACAATTCTTTAGTAGATACCAAAGGTAGCGCGATTGTTAAGTAGATCTCTATTTTTGATTACGCTTAGCAAGCGCTATTAAACCGGATTTATTTTTTCAAATTAACATGTTGCCTTGCAAAACCTTTTACCCATTTTGATAGCTCGATTTATAATCAGCCCAAATTCAGTGTCGCATTCTCAATATTGAATATTCAGTTCATCGATACAGTGTAAAAATACATTACCGCATAATCATTCACTGCGTCTGGATAGCTAGAACAGGTTATTTAGCCGGACAAATAGCGCCACTCCGGGATTATTTCTCATTTAATATCGACTAAGTCAGAAAAACATATGAATCAGCTGAAAATTATTTATCTACAATGTAACTGTTTTTGAGCAGATAAAAAATCTTGAAATTTGGTCATCTGAGAACATTTCAATTTCGTGAGGTAAAAATTTATTTGATATCAAGAAAATGAAGTTTTTCACTGTGTTGCATGAAAGAGAATTTCCCATAACTGTTGTCTTACAACGATAAGAGAATTGATACCATTTGAAAAAAAATCGAGCCTTTCTCCGACTACTGATACTGCTGACATATAAATAATCAACTGGTGAACGTTTTAAATATTGAAAAATTGTTTCTATAAAAATTTGGGAAAGATAGATTTCATGAGCTGTGTCAATTTCGAGCTGAATAACTTCTTACGTTTGAACTAAATGTTCTTAGAATACCCTTATCTTATTTATAAATCCTTTGAATATGGCTGAGTTTTTGCACACGGTATGCACGTAAGCTGTCTGTTGTAGTATATTGTCAATTTTAAACACCAAATTTCTGGAAATTTAGTAAAATGACTTTTTCACCTGCTAGAGAAAATTCTACATCGATACAAAGTACGCCACGCTGTAAAATTCTAATTTTTTTTGGAGCTGATCCACATTGTGTTTCGCACGCACCAGTCATCGGTCTTCTTCAACCCATTTTCAAAATCTTTGTTTAATTTTGTAGTCTGAAGATAGGCAAAAAAGCACTGTCGTCAGCAAAAAAAAATCAGTTTTCGCAACAAAATTCAAAACCATTGATATTAATTCAGAACCAAGAACAGCGTGGTAGCACCCCAGACGCGACTTCTTGTTCACATGGAGGAAGTGACCATTACATTTTCACAATTAAATTTTCTATTTGTTAATCAATTTGATATCAACTTGTTGACTTTCCTCGAATACCACAAGTGCTCAATTTTTCTATAAGAACTGAATGATTAAATGTATCAATGATTTCCGTATTTCTATAAAGTGCCAAACCTGTTTTTTTTTGCTTTTTGCATAAACTCAGTAACGCGTAAAAATGCATGGGACATGAATGCTTTTCACGGATGACAAACTGCTGTAGTTTTCGAGTATTATGCTCTTTATGATGAAATTTTTTTTTGGATTAGTTTCTGGAAAGTTTTGCTTTAAGCTAAGTAGGTTATTAGGTCAAAAAATTTCTGAGGTTTTCGCTGCCTCCATCTTCAAAAATAGCAAAATTTATTTTAATTTTACGAAATCATGAAAAAAAAATTGTTTGGCAATAAATTCATTGAATACATCAGCCAAGAAAACAGCAGACGGTGCACATAACTTAATCATCATCTTTTTTAATAAATCCAGGCCAGATGATTTTTTGTTTCTGATGTGATTGAAACAATGTTTTTGTTGACTTCATGTCTATCTGATTTAAAAATTACAAAACTTGAAGTCAGTTTCTCCAATTGCTCTATAGTAGAACATGCTGGGAGTATGGATTCGCTACGGTGTTTCTATATGGTCACAAAACGATATTTAGTGATCTGGTTTGGGTTCCATCAGTTTCTGAGATGCTTTTTGCTTTGCGCAGATATTATTGGAGACTCGAAACATTCACTTAAAATATAGCCACAATTCCAAATTCTATCGTAGTTTTTCTTAACAGTTCTTTTTTTCAAATTAAATGTTTTTACAGATGTTATCAACGTTCTCCTGTGAAAAGTTTTAAACCTTTTTGACCAGTATATGATCTCTTTTTTAACTTATTTCAATGATAATAGTGGTAACCCTGGCTTTGTGATTCTGTTGTGTGAAAGTATGGATTAGAGAAAACCGGTTACAAACCTCCAAACATGTTTTAGTCAAATTCGTCATCATGTCATCAACATTTCCGCAGACCACTTTTAAAATTGATCAAGAATAAATAGAAGGTTTAAGCAGTTTCTTCTTGCTACGAACTTCAAGTTTGTCGCTCTAAAAATACAAGTACTGTTGTCACGAAGAAATGCAAAAATGCCAGAAAAGCATAATGATTGCTTGAAGATGTTTTCAAGGTAGCTACGGTCAGAATGTTAAAAATTACAAATGGATCAATACTGGTAATATTTGTAGGAAGTCGACTTGTTTCTTCATTTTTTGATATTGAGTAGTCACTTAGGACATGGAGTAGTGGCTGCTGTTCTAGTGATGCAACAAACCTTTTTAATTGGTCATAATGGTTGAGCAAAATTTAATCTCCAAAAAAAGTATATCACACTCCTCTTATCATATTAGAAACCTTTAAAAACATCAATTTTGACAAAGAAAAAGTTATGTTTGTTTTTTCAAACCAAAAGTTCTTTATGATTCTTATTGTTTTTTTTATGTGGACGCTCATCCTCATTAGAAAACAATAGAAACAGGCGGAGGATTTCGTTTGATAAGGTTTTCTATGAGGCAACAAAATTTATACAGTTTCGGCTCTTGTATGCCATGTTGGGAGTTTGAAACAACAATAGAAAATAATCAGCCACAATTCATTTGATTTTACCAGGCACGAACAATTACTTATTCGGGCTGCGGATGAAGTTTGACTTGCTATTTGCAAGCTAGCATTGTTTGTCTTCAAACAATCGACCTCCTTTCGATTATCAATTATTTCCATTTGGAGTCAGAAATAGGTTTTTAATCTGCACTCAATTTTGATGAGTTGAGGTGAGCGGATGTTTTTGTAGTCTATAATAGTTCATTTTATCCCTAGTATTCTGCAAGCTTTGTCTTGAACTTCATCACTTGTCATTTCGTCCCAAAATGCAAATTTTGTTCCAAACAGCTTCTCGTTGATGATTGGTCAAAACTTTGCAATAATCGGTCGATTTCTACCTTTTTCCGGGTAGAAAACGGCCCGCGGCAATTTCTTGTGGCTCAATTAAATTTTGTACTGACCTTTTAGTCTCCTCATGATTGATTTCACTGGGTACTCACCATAGTCTGACACTCCATGACAAGTCCATGAACACATAAAGAACGAATACCTTTCCACTTTTGTAATTCTTTTTTCCAGTTCGTAATCGTCTTTTAATAGCTTGTCATTTTCTCCTCTTTATTCCAGTATTTTATCCTGCTGGGAATAATTTTGTTTGATTAGTACTTCGAGGAGGGATTGTACAGATTCATCATCGTTGAAATCTATCATTGAAAGTTTCTGCAGTAAACTCATGTTTATTCGGTAGAAGCAATCGATTTTGACTAGCGTTTCGTGCAGTAAACGGAAGAAACAGTTTCGTTCTTAGCTAATCTATTTCGATTTGAATCTGGTTCCGTTGGTCATCTCTGAAACAACTTAAAACGTTCATTACAACATTTAGGCTATTAGGCTATTGTTCTCCACATTTGAGGCAGTGGGACGTCAAAGCTCTAACTCCACTGGGACATCAAAACTCTTGAGTATTCGAATCCGGTAAAGGCATTTGTTTTTTCATGTGTATAGTCAAAACTTAAGAAAAGATCTTTGCGAACTTAAGTTTTTTCCTCTGAAAAAGATTTGGCAGCTTATTGCTTATTAGTTTATTCTTAACGGATAAAAAGATGATTTCAAAGACGAATTTTAGGTAATGAGTTTTTTGAATTTTCATTATCAGCTTTGTAATAATCAATTGCCTGAAAATCATGACTTTGTCCGATTGTAAAAAAAATCAAAAACCGAATCATATTTTTCGCGGTTTTTGCAGTTGGTCTTTTAGAGTGATTTGAGTTTGTCAAATGATCTTTGGTGAATTAAATATGACGACGGGTTGATCCGTGAGGAGACAATTCGTAACAGGAGACAATTAATAACAAGCGACATTTCGTAATAGTAGATGAAGCGGGGAACTCTGATTTACGCGCAGTATTGCTCTCGTGCCGGATGTAAGCGGAGCGAAGCGGAGTAAGCGTCTTTTACTTGCCAATGCTTTGTTACGAATTGTCGCTTGTTACAAATTGTCGCTTGTTACGAATTGTCGCCGGTTACGAATTGTCGCTCGTTACGAATTACCGCCTGTTACGAATTGTAGCCTGTTACGGATTGTTGCCCTACCGTGTTGATCAAGCCTATTTTTGATTTATTTTCAATTATTTTTTTTCATTAGAAACACACAATGAAAAAAATGTAGAAAAATGTAGCAATTTTTGCAGTCATATTTGTGTGTTTCTGGGCACGTGTTTCTGCACCACAATTGAATAGAATCCGGAAAAAAAACTGAATAACAAAGTGTCTTCTAACTTGGTTCTCGACTTTTTCTCACTTGAAGATCTTCAATTGAAATAGCTTTGTTAAAATCTTAAATTTCAATCAACCAGTCAGTGCATCTGGCGGAAAGGTAACACGCATGTTTCAGACGACCAAAGTTCGGGACCTATTTTTGCGAACTAGAAACTTTCTCTTTTTTAGGGCTATCGCCTGTAATTTTTTTGTGTTCAGCAGTCTTTTAAGCTTCAACAGTTTTTAAATATTCCTTATACCATTTCTAATTCGCAATGGTAGAAATAATTGAGTTACAATCTTTTTTATAGTTTTATTTTGAGAACTATAAAATTTAATTAAAATGTAAAATTTTAAAAATATTAACAATTTGTCCTACACGATTTGCTATAACTACACTTTTTTTTGTTTATTTGAGCTGTATTTATGGGCATAGTGACGCTTCATAATGCTTTGATTGATTATGAGTTATGAATCAACCGTACAATGCCCCCCGCGCTAAGTGGCATCCTCAAGCATGGATTTATTTTAAAAAATCAATTCCGCATAAAATATTCATTTCGGCTCTTTTCCAGTTCCCCTCTTTCAAATTGAAATTTGAAAAGCTTTTTTAACATTGCCATAATGCAATGAAATTTGGCGTGGTGAACAAATCGACAACTGTGAACAGATTTGTTCTTCATACTTTACAGCGTAACATTCAGCCGTAATAACACGTAAAACAAACATAAAACTCGGTATTTTGAAAGATGGAACTGGAAAAGAGCCTTCATTTCAAACAAGCACGCTGAGTATACTGCTGGAGAGTTTCTTAATACCGAATAGCTATTTTATCATTTTTTGCCCTCGAAGTTAGTTTAAAAAAGAACGGTGTTTTATCCCCCCCCCCCCCTCAATTGGGGGGAGGGGACGGTACGGTTGATCTCAAGTTTCTTGCGCGTCTTTTTTGAGGCAGGACTTTTGTGACACAGGCGGCTTCGTCTCATTTTCTCGGCTAATTTGTCATGCTAAAATTGCGTTATTTCGCAAGTCGCGCGAGGCTTGTCAAAGTTATTCTCAATTTTTCGTTTTACTCGCTTTTTTGTTATTGGAAAACCTAAATTGAACTCCTTTTGGGGAAAAAATTGAAATGCCAATTTTAGAAAAATGAGCTGGAAGTTGGAACAATGAGCTGGAAATTTTAAGTCTTTTTCTGAAAAAGAAATAATCTCGGCCTTAACTGCTGGGTTCACTGACAGTGACTGCTATCAGCCACTTTTGAAAACCATGATTGTTTTTGCATTGTAATATTTCATCAAATATTGAAATATAAATAGCCGTTTATCAAATTATACAACGCCATTAAAATCATTCTTTCATGGTAGTGAATCAATTCGTGATTGCATGCGATGTTCTGCTTTGTCTCGTCTGATCGATTGGGTGCCTGGAAATTCTGTGGGTCTGTGATCCAGTCGGTCTTCACTGTGTCTCTGATGTCTGGTGCCTGGGACAGGAAAGCGAGTAGGGTTGGGTGGGCGACTCGTGTGTAAGCACCCTGGTTGGAACCGCAGTTGGGGGGTCCGCTGCCGAAAGCAACAATCCCACAGAGATATCGCTCGCCTATTCTTAAAATACAAAGGAGAAACATTTGATAAGTTTTCCTTCTTTCCCGTCTGTAAAGACTTGTGAGTTTTTAATGGCGCTGCTTTTGTTCACAATGTTCACCCCGCGCCCTTGAGTCATACGGTCTATATAGCTAGATTTTTTGTTTGTTTGTAATTTAGAACTTTGTCAAGCTATTCCCTGATTGCAAATGGGAATTCTCGTGCAAAGTTACTAAATGCTTATTCCTTAATTCATTAAGTTAGTCCTTTTCAGGTAGGGGTAGAAATTGTTGGGTACCACATGGGGTACCATATGGGAGGGGGGTAGTTATCTAGATCCATGATTTAACTTACTCGTTGAAGCATTCTAGAGGACCTCCTGAGTCCCCCGAACATGCATCGTATGGAAGGAGTTGATTGGTGAGGTTCTTTGCATGGACGCCTGCGTCTACCTGTTCCCCTCCCGCACACACGTAGCCATTGGGGTAGCACTTGGAGATCTCCGGCGCACTTTTATGCACAGACACCATACATGTCTGGATAGTGACATATACTGATCTGTTAACAAGATTTTTGCCAAAACTTAGCGGGAAAGTCAAACCGCGGATAATCAAGTTTGAGATTGAACAAATTTAAGACTTTGCTGAAAAAACACTAAACATAAAAATCACTTCATTCACAAACTCTTGATAATAACAAGCATAGCCGGTTACTGTGCAAGTAGCACATAATGTTCCAACCATATTCTGTAGAAAAACTACAAAAACTGAAATAACTCGATTGAAATAAAAATAAATTAAAATAAAAATTGAAATAACTCGAAAGTCTACTTATGTTGCTGTGACTCCAGTTTTAATTAAGATTCGTAAAACCGATTATGCTTGGATTAAGGAAAGAAAAAGTTGAGAAATTCGACATCTTGACCTCGCATAAGACATATTGTTTGGTTCTTTTTAAATCATCCAGTAGCCTACAAAACGAAAATTTGGCTAAAAAACGTTTAATTTAAACCTCATAGGATGGGGCTGAAAAAAACACTCATTTTTAAAATCATAATCTAAACCGCAGACTCTTATGTGTATAAAATTCTTGGGTTCATGCCCAGTTACCTGTTTTTCGGTGAAAGGGAATTTACGAAAGTCTATTTAAAGTACTTTTAGATGTTCTAGACTGCAAAAAACCGTCAGCATTAACAAATGAGCAAATTTCTACAAAATTTCTTCCGTGCAAACTGCCATACGAACAGCTTTCGAATATCTTCGAATTAAGAGGCACATAGCATAGTGCTACGAAGCGTTCACTCTGAAATCGTCAGATCGTGTATTCGATCCCATGCCATGGCAATGATAGTGTGCGAGGACGAGCTCTCACTTGACCTCTAGCTTCAGGTTTACGATAGCCTGACCAATTTCGGCTGCAATAGTGGTACCACGTGAAAGTTCTACACGCAAAAAAAAACTGCCTTGAGTCGCAAATAAAGAGCTTCGCTCAACAAAATAAGGCAGTCTGGACTGCAGGGAGATAATACAAATGGAAATGGACTATCCTCGACAGGAATGTTAAGGCCTAATGATGGCTCCTCTGTGATTCGCAGGAACCACATTGTATGGGGAGTTAAGACTGGTTTGCTCCTTGAGTTGGATGATTTAGAAATAACACTGACCTGACCCGATCGGTCCCTCCGAAAGTATCTTTCTGACTGCAGAGGGGGTCGACCTGTCGGTCGCACCAGGCCCCGAAGCCAGACACAGTAGCCCATTGCCCCACAAGAGGGGCGTCGTTTGTCGCCGGCAACTTAATCGGCATCGCGTATCTTGAAATGACTGCCAAGAGACCTTTTTACTTTTACCTCGTATGCACCTCCTCGATAAAAACAAAATTTGTCGTATTATGGTAAGCAATTAATGTGAAGTTATCAAGTACTACGGTAGATACAAATTACTTGTTCGAGTATGATTGAGTCAGTCTAAGTTTTATTCAGAAGTTCAGCATTTGCATCGATTGAGTTGTTAAATGTGCAACAGGTACTTATCAATTAATTAATTATTTGCATATTCTCCAAGACTCATATGTGTTAATACTAACTGACATAGGTTAAATAAAGCCGGAAAAAGTAAAATAATCCCTATTGGCGTAGGAAGAGCGATTACAGCCGCGTCGCAGTCTAGTAGAATTTTCACATCTTCAGGTCCGTACTTTGCCGCTTGGAACAGTCACTTTTCCAGTTTTTTTAAGAGCGGTAATATAAGTGTTTGATTTCCGTTGTACTTTGCAACACGTGTAACGGTAATCTCTTGATTTTCCCAAATAACCGTCCTTCAAATATCTGCATTTTTTAAAACAAAGAAGCAAGGAGTCTAAAAACTGGTACATGCATCATTCTGCAAATAAGAAAAATCAATCTTGTTCATCGGGAAATTATTTGAAGTACGTAGAATGAAAAGTAAAATTTCAGATTCAATAAGTTCGAAAAACGTGTGAATTTCTTAAGCTTCTTTTGGATTAATTGTTTCCTGAAAAAGTGCCTTCGAATCTGGTGGGAGTTGAATAGAACACAGTTCCTCGTAAGATGCCTTCCATGTTCTTGCCGAAACAATGCTTAGCTGTTACTATATAGGTCGGACTGATGATTATACCACTACATAGTGAATTATGTCCGTTAGGCCTGATTGTGGGTCCTTTACTATCCCAATTCCGCCAAACCAAAACTATACTTCGAGTTTATTGTGTATCCAGTGGCGGATTTAGGAGAGGGAGGGGAAGGCGCCTTTTTCTCTTCAGAAATTCGGCCCAGTGACCACCCAGAACCCAGTTTAGTACTATTTTACGCCATCAATTTTTGGTTAACTGACTCGAAGGTTTCCTAGAGGCGCTTTGGGTGCCAATAATAACTAGTTCAAAAGGGGGAGCGCGCGCCTCAAAGAAAACCCGAATTTTTGGTCAAAGTTTTCCAAAGAATGTCACAAAACGTCAATTTTGGCTTCTCTTCATTCAAAAAATCACCTGAAGTGGCACCGATTTTTCCATTAACCGATAAACAATAAGACAAAGTGATTAAACAGACATCATTGAGATCAGGGGCGGATCTAAGATTTTCTCGAAGGGGGGATTTTCAAAAAAATATTCGAAAGTTTTGTCAAACTATTTTTTAGGTCGACCAAATTGATTTTCCGCGCGCTCGCCCAAATCACTAAATACCTGTTTTTTTTTTGCGTTGCCTGCGAATACTTCCAAAAACGCGTTTTTGGAATGTTTTGACCAAGAAATTGCGTTTTTTTTTGTCCCGCGCTCTCCCTGAAAATTACTGTATGGTGCCTTTAGAAAGTTTTAGGTTTTTTCAGCCTAAATTGAATGTCTTAAAATAGTTCAAAAGTGAAGGGCATCGAAATTCTGAAACGTTGCAACACAGGGTTGGGGGACAGTAAAAGAGCCTGCTGGATGAGCGATAGTCTGACTGCCCACGGGTGTTCGATTGATGGTGTGATTTCTCCATTGATGACGCGTACGTTCTGGTATGTAAGTTCGTTCTTGTACTCGAACATGTAAGGACAGCCTACTTTGGCGACGCCTTCCTCAAAAGGGGTCACACATACGTCCTAAGGACATGTATGGTGTATTTTGAAACTTATAATTTTTTTTCATGAGAAAACCATCATAGTTAGATTTCGCAGAGTGAATGATCCTGTTAATTTCTCAGAGTTCTTTCTAAGTTTGTAAAACACGCGTCGTCTTTCCCTGATAATTTTGAGTTTTTTGTGCGATAGGTTATATAATCATGGTGATATCTTCCAGAAAACGTAGAAAAATTTAAAATTCCTTCTAAAAAACTGAAAACATCTATCTAAAAATTTGATTTCGATCAAAAACTATTGAAATATATAGAAGTTTTCGCAGCTATTTAAATCTTTCAAATACAACCTTCAATAGACAAAGCATAGTCTGCATCCTTCCGCTAAATTCGTCCCGTGCATATTTTGCATACTCGCAGGAGAAGGGACGCTTCTGGTCACATGACCTCTGCTGCAGCTCCGAGGTCTGGTTGCTGAGTAGTCCGGCTGTGAAACAGGGAGACTGGATAAGGAACAGAGGGTTCCGAACTCCGATTGAAGTTGCTTTGTTGTTGGAGTTTGCGTACATTGAGAAAAAGACCTGTGGCTTACTGAAAGAAAAAAACAGTAAACTATCTAAAAATCAGATGAATATATCAAGCTCCTCTCCATTTTGAAATTTCTGTGCTCTTCATCTGGAGAGCTCAAATTGGTTGTTTAGTTGGTCTGCAGTGTAGTATGAACGCCAAGCTGCTTCTGACTAAATTTTTTATTTACCTTCTGCCAATGTTTCTTGGTCGCCATTATTCCCGAGTTGGTTTAATCCAAAAAAATTCCGAGATTTTAGTTGTCTAATTTTATCAGAACTGTCAAAAATGACAAATGAAAACAAACTGCCTGGTTTCCAAATAGGGCACTTTTTTAATATTTGCCTTACTCTGGGTGTTCGGTGGCCATGTAGTAGCTACTCTGCCACACCAAACTCATTCGATCCCTATTCAGTCCACATTCGTTGGTTTTGAACGTCAAACAAGCCATATCGTCGCCTATCAAGTACCCATTACACGCGTTGCAAATCAAGTTCGCTTTGAAAAAGGTAGCTCTTAAGTCCGCGTCGAAAAAGGCAGTTCTGGTTTCTTTCCGAAATTGAGTGTCTCTGTAATACTCGAAGAAAGGAAAGGTTAAGCGCAACAGGCTGAGAAAAGCAACCACACTCATATTAGGACAAGCCATCAATGCTTTAACTTAGTTAATAAATTTTTATATCTTACAAACACAGTTGTTGCCCGGTCAAAGGTCAACGAATCTAGCCCAAAGCTAGACAAAAAATCCACGTGTTGCCTCCTAAAGATATATAATTGGCATGTCTGTATAGTGCAAGTGCAAAATATTGAGCACGCCTAGTCGCTACTATATAGAGCACTTTGAAGCAGGCCCTCAGTTTGTTTTATAGTTAGCCCAAGTATACTCTTATACATCATTTTAAATAGTGAAACGGTACAAGCCAAAGCATCCTCTAGTTTTTCAAATAGTGCATAAATTTGCCAAATGGTGCACTTTCTGATCAACAAGCATATTTTGTTGAAACACTTGTTGTTTCGATTTTTGAAGAAAGTCACAGAATATTTAGACTCGTGAGGGATTTTCTTCACTCCGAGATTAACTTTTAACCAGTCTTTTTTGAGCAGCGTTTTTAAACCACATCTGAAACGTATCAACGCATTGAGCTCAAATTCGAAAAATCATAATCCTCTGCTTTCAATTTTTTGAAGTTATGAAGGTTTAAAAATTGCAACAAAAATTTTTCCAGATTTAAGGCAAATTAGTTTTAATTCTGAAATACGTAATAAGATACGTAATTAATTGCAACACCTGGTTCTTGATATGGCTTGAGGGAAAATTACTTAACAAAAAATCTGAAAAAATCTCGTTTGCTAAATTTTTTTTTTGGATTCTCATCATTTACTAAAATATACAAGAGGATAGCCGGCTACTGTGCAAGTAGCACAGAATGTTCTAACCATAGGCTTAAAAAACAACAAAAAATTGTTTTAAATATAAGTGTAATTTTTTTTCGGCGTGGTGTGATAAAAATAGCTGAACTAGAGATACGGCATACTGGACATTCATAGTAAAATAAACAAACTTAAAAACAAGTTCTCTAAAAAAACGACTGGAAAATCAAAAAAAATTAAAAAAAATTAAAAACTTCAAATTTTCTTACAGTTTTTTGAACTTTGTTTTTGATTCCAAAAAAGCACTAAAACAAGTTTTTGATTCCAAAAAGGCGCTAAAATTTTCAAAGAAACTAACGTTGCTATAGTAAACTAAGTGTTTACCTCTTAAAATAGCTATTGTAAGATTTCAAGCCATTAAAATGGTGCATACCCACGGAGCCGCATTCCCGGATAAGTTTAAAGGGGAGCACTTCAAAAAATGATAAAAACGGCATTTTTGGCCTACTTTTTTAAAAACATTTGTCACCCCATCCCCTCGAGCAAATCCTAGATCGGATCAACCGTACAGTTTCCTCCGCAAATTGAATTAAGGGGGAGAAAACATGGACTTATTTTTGGGCTATCCGGGAACGAATTTTATTTTTCGGCTATCCGGGTATTCGGCTCCGTGACACGCCACCATTAAAATAAGCTATATTCGATTGTTTGGTCGAATTAAGACGAAAAACCAAAAATTTAAAATCGGTTTTTCTCGGAACTGCAATTTTTCTTACAATTAATTGTGGTTCGAATAACGGTTGAAAGGGTTTTAATATGATATATCACTCAACCCAGTCTGATGAATGTTTGTGATACTTAAATTTGCTTGGAAAAAAAACTAAAAAACACCCGAATACAAAATTCCTACCCATCTTCTAAAGTCGGAACAAAAAAGCAAATAGTTCGAAGCAATTAAATTTCAGTTGATACGTTCAGGGATTTGTCTCGATATGTACAGTCATGTAGCTCCATCTTTCGCAGTGAGGAATTTTATTGCTAGGTAAATTTTTTTGCTTTATAACCCAACAAGACTGGTCGTATCAGGGCAAAGCCCTGAATGTTCCGACTGCCTTTTGAGCAGTAATAACTTTAAAAAAATAAAAACAAAATGAATTATATCGCGCGTTAATTGTCCCAAATTGGCCAAAATGGTAACTTTTAAACCCCCGTAACTCTACAAAAATGATCACAAGTGAAATTTGAGCTCAGGACAACAATACCTTTCGAATGATATTAAAAAATCCCGTCAAAAATGGCTAGTTAAAAAGTCGAAATTTGTCTGAAGAAAAAAACCCAC